GCTCGAGAGCCTCTCTTTCCTGCTGCCTATGTAGGAAGAGCTGAGGCTGCTGGAGGAAGCTAATTCCCACATCAGCATCCCAACATCCAAAAGGGATCCTCTCTGCCCTGGGCAAGGATGCATGATGATGCCCTTGGGTCCTCTGTCAGTACATCCTTCAGTCAGAGGAGAGGAAGGGAAGGGAGACTGAGAGGAGTCAAAGGAAGGATATCTACCCCTAGACATTCCCCACCCTGCCCAAGGAAAAAAGGTGGCTGGGCTTTACCCATCCCGGGATCCCAGCTCCTCTTGCTCTCCTGCCTAAGCAGCTTTAGCTAATAGCATTAAGCAGGTCTCAAGACTAACTACTCTCCACTTGGGGCTGAGATCAAGGAGAGAGACTAGAGGCTTCTAATCAGATTGGGGATTTGGTAGAGGGGAGGGGGATGTGCAGTTTGTCCAAAGCTAACAAGCATAAAATATCCCCTGGCGACTGCCATTCCTGTATCTCTCAAGGGGTGTGTCTCTCACCACTGTGGCCTCTGGAGGCTGGTTTCTCTACTTGATCTCTCAGCCCCTTAGTTGTACTCTGGGCCACACCTATGCCAGGACACAGATTTTCCCCTCCCTAGTTCTGTTTCATTCTGATTCACTCTCCTTCTCCATATCTCTCCTGGCTTGCCTCCTCTGGCTACCTTTGTGTAGACTTGATTTTGTCCAGTCAGTCAGATAACAGTCTGTCCACTCCCAGCCCCAACTACAAAGTGACTTTCAATACAGCTTTCTATTTGCATGCAGGCAACAAGGGCTTTATCTGTGTGTGTGTGTGTGTGTGTGTGTGTGTGTGTGTGTTTCCCCCATCTTTCTCATTCTGTGTTGCTTTCTGCCTAATCTGCATGGTTATCCTCTGACTTCCTGGGGCCTTTACTGAAATTGTTTCTGGCAAAGAGCCCACACTTTAGGTTTAGACTAGTGTTCCTGCTTTGGGGCACAGGGCCTGCCAGCCTCTCCCCTCTGCTCTGAAAGTTTCATCCTCAACTTTTCTGCTCTGATTGACTGATTACAGCTCAAAGCCTGGTGTCTGACAGACCTGTTCCCATCCGGCTCCACCACTTGGCTAAGATCTTATGCAAGTCTCTTTCTTAATCTTTTTGAGCCTCAATTTCCTTGGCTTGCAAAATGTAGCCAATACCCACCTTGAAAGGTTATTATGAAGTAACATATATTAAAAGAAAAATCACCCAGTGCAGGATGCAGGACAGAGGCCCAATTCATATTAACCAAAATCTTGGAGAAATAAAGTCTGCTTTAATTGTTTTCTTTGGCTCCAAGCCCTAGCTTCAGACTTACTCTCTATTGTTTTCATTGTTATCTATATTGCTTTTATTAAATAATGACCTAAAACCTACATGTGTTGAAACAAACACTTAACATTGGCAAAGGGGATTAGCCATATTAGTAGTAATCAGAATGATGGTGATAATGACAATAGTAATTGCTTGCTTCGTTAACCCTTCCAGAAACATATAGTGCTTTAGAGAAACTACACCAATCATTCAAGATTGGGTTATGATCCTTTTTGATTTATGGTTCTCAATATTGCTTCCCTTGGAGGCCTCTGTGCTTATTCTTCAGTGGCCACTGCAGGGACAGAAGGAGCTGTACTCAGCCAGTGGTTAGAGCTTCTCTAAACTTTGTGTGTTCAGTTCCTGGAACAAAGAGGAGGGAACTGAGGAGCCTGGAAGACAGGGAGAAAGGGACAGAATGGGACCAAGTAGGATCCCCTCACCAGAGTCTGGATTAAAGGATGTGTGAGGAATTAAGGTTAAGTGCCAAGGCCAGTTCTCACATGACTGCTGCTCTTCTCTGGGGACCCCCCCCCCGCAACATTTAACTCAGGGGCTCCTGTAAGGAAAGGAAAAGCTTATAGGCAACCTTGGCAGAACTTACTAGCTGTAAGGCTTTCCATGCCTGGAAGTGGTGGGCTTACCCAGGGTTGAGGATCCATTAGCGACATACAGAAAGAAGCTGGGGAGGCAGCTGCTGGCATCAGGAAATGAAAAGTTGGTCTCCCCTGCTCATACTGTTTTGGTTTTGTATTTAGAGTTTTTGTTTTACTTTGTTTTTCTTAGAGAGCTGGTGTTAAGAGCTCACCTAGGTAGCTGACTACACTTTACCTTAGCTGTATGACCTTAGGGAAATTGCACAATCTCTCTGAGCCTCTACTCGGTGTGAGGTTTTAGCATAGGTAAATTTCAATCTCTCAATGCCATACAAGGGTTGGGAAGGCGGCTCAGTGGTAGAGCACTTGCCTTGCATGCATGAGGCCCTGGGTTTGATTCCTCAGCACCACAAAGCAAAAAGAAAAAAGCCGGAAGTGGCGCTGTGGCTCAAGTGGTAGAGCACTAGCCTTGAGCTGAAGAGCTGAGGGACAGCATCCAGGCCCAGAGTTCAGGCCCCATGACCGGACCCCCAAAAAAGCCATGCAAGATATAGCCAATGTCTGGTAGTGGTGAGTTTCCTTATCCTCTTCTTGCCAGTTCTCAATCTATGCTGAGGTCTCAAATCCTCCAAACCAGGAAACTCCATCATCTACTGGGCACCAGGGCAAGCAATAAAATCTCTGTCATTTCCTCCAGGTAATGGTTTTCCACAGGAACCCCTCCCATATATTCACATCCCAAGTCCCATCCCACATTTCCAAGGTGAGGCAGAAGAGCTCTTAATCTGACTGAGGTTACAGAATGAAGAGTATCTGGATGGATGGATGGATGGATGGATGGGAAAGGAGTGAGAATATCTGCTTGGGGGAGAAGGAAGGAGAAAATAATTCTACAATGACAATTGTCTGTTTAGAAACATCACGAAGTATGGATCTACTTACTACCCTATTTACCTTAATTTCTAGAGACATCACAGCTCAGGCCACATAGGTATCTGCAGAAGCTCCTGTCTTCTACCCCACCCTCCCAGTCTGTCAACCTGTCAGCTGATCTTTTTTTTTTTGCCATTCCTGGGACTTGAACGCAGGGCCTGGGCACTGTCCCTAAGCTTCTTTTTTCTCAAGGCTAGTACTCTACTACTTGAGCCATAGCACCACTTCTGGCTTTTTCTGTTTAGGTGGTACTAATTGAACCTAGGGCTTCAGGCATGCTAGGCAAGTGCTCTACCACTAACCCACATTCCCAGCCCCCAACAGCTGATCGTTTCTGATGCTGAGCATTCCCTGGGATAGGTTGGGAAAGCAAAGAGACAACATGACCTTTCTGTACTAAGAGTGGGGAAATTGGAGGATCTCACCTCCTGAGTGAGGTATCTGGGATTCCTTGACTTTCTAATAACCATAGTTTTGTTTTGTTTTTTTTTTTTTTTTGAGTAGCAGGGATTCTTGTTACTCCAAGTAAGATCCATGGAGCTGCATCAGCAGCATCACCTAGGGGCTTGGTAGCCACACAGAATCTCAGGGTCACCCAGTCCATCAGAAACTGTTTTGAAGAGATATCAAATAACTCTTTTTTTGGGGGGGGGGTCGGTTGTGGGGCTTGAACTCTGGGCCTGTGCATTATCCCTCAGCTCTTCAGCTCAAGGTGAGCATTCTATCACTTGAACCACAGCACCACTTCTGGTTTTCTGACTGGTTTATTGGAGATAAGTGTCTCACAGACTTTCCTTCCCAGGCTAGCTTTGAACCATGATCCTTAGATCTCAGCCTCCTGAGTAGATGGGATTACAGGCGTTAGCCACCAACACTGGACCATCAAATCACTCTTATGCACACTAAAGTTGAGAAGCACCACCATATAAATATTGTTTTTAAGTTTCAAGGCAACTCAGTGTATGAGCAAGTGCTATCCACGTACAGTGGTTAAGTTATTATGTGTCTTTGGTTGTCACTTCCTCTCCCTCTGAGCCTTCTCTGGAATGGGAAGAGTTTACTCCAGACCAACATATCCTCCAGATCTGAGCGCTTCATAAATTCTGAGTTTACCAGAAAGGGGATCTCCAAGCCCCAAGCATGTAAGTCTTCCTGCAGTCCTTATCACCCAGGAATCTCCCTGGCCTGTCCCACCCTCAGGAGCAAGCCTCTGTCTTCCCAGGGTTGTCCTTTCCATCTTTTCTTAGTCCTCGTGTACCTTGCTTCATGTTCCATTGGTGACCGTGGAAACCAGCCTTTTGCCCCTGTCTCCTCTGTTCTACCCAGAATTCTTTGCTTCAATGCTTTTTTTTTTTTTCTTTTCTTCCCTTTACCTGCATTAGGCAAGTCTGTCTCAACTGAGCTCATTCCAAAAGTCCCTTCCTGGCTTCTCCAGTTGAGAACCAACACAATCTTCCTCTTCCTTACCTATGATTCATTAATCAACAAGTGTTTACAGAATACCTGTGAAACAAGGCTCTCAGTGCTGGGATGAGATCCAGATGACAGTTAATGAGCAAGACACCCGGGGTTCTTGACATCTTGGAGCTAATATTCTGAAGGGAAGCACAGAGGTCAAACAATGACATCACTGATAGGTTCCTCACCATTCATTCATTCATTCATTCATTCATTTACTGCTCTATGTCAGGCTCTTGGGACTCATTGGTGAAAATAACACACAGAAATCCCTGTTGTTCTCAAATGTGAAAATGTTCGAGATACTAAAGTATGACTATGTATATATGTCACCTCTTCTCCATTCAAGTTTTAGAAACAGCTTCTCTCCTATTATGGAAACATCAAATCCCACTAAGCCCTAAGGAGAGATGGAACCCTCTGTCTAAATCCCACAGCCAGGCAGGATGGAGGACTCTGTATCCCCTCCCTCTATATAAGTGGCTCAGACCCAAGCCAGTGAAGAGGTCTCCAAAGAGGCTGAGCCCTACTCTGGGTATAGGGAAACTTCCTGCCCACGCATCCATTTTCTCCCTGAACAATTCTCTGTTCCTTGTTGACTTTCTCCATTCATTCCTTCTTTCCCTTGCTTTCAAGTGGTGACCATTTCCACCAAGGCCCTGCTGGTCCTCTGTCACTTGGCCTGAACATGCACTGCAGCTGCTTAGCTGAGAGCATCCCAGCCACCTCTGGCAACTACTGGATCTCAGGTGAGCCTCCTGCCAGGTTCCCTCTCCCCCATTCTCTTATTTTTGGGTCGTGGGGCCTGAACTCTAGGCCTGGGTTCTGTCCCTCAGCTCTTTGGCTCAAGGCTAGCACTCTACTACTTGAGCCACAACACCACTTCCGGCATTTTCTGCTTATATAGTGCTGAGGAATCGAACCCAGGGCCTCATGCATGCAAGGCAAGCACTCTACCACTGGGCCACCTTCCCAGCCCTCCCCCATGCTCTTGAAGCTACCTTGGGTAGGGCTTTCCCAGTCACAGGGTAGTCCTCACGCTACCCTCCCTACCCCAGGTCTGGCCTTCCCTGACTGGGCCTACAAAGCGGAGTCATCTCCAGGCTCCCGGCAGATCCAGCTGTGGCACTTCATCCTGGAGCTGCTGCAGAAGGAAGAGTTTCGCCATGTCATTGCCTGGCAGCAAGGAGAGTACGGGGAGTTTGTCATCAAGGATCCAGATGAGGTGGCCCGCCTCTGGGGCCGCAGGAAATGCAAACCACAGATGAATTATGACAAGCTGAGCCGGGCCCTCAGGTGAGAGGAGGTGGCCAACGAGGCCAGAGAAAGCAGAGTTCACAGAAGAGAAAGGGCTGTGGTTTTTGGCACTTCTGTCTAATTCCCACTCCTCCAAGGCTTGGGAAATGTGCTCGTGTGTGGGAAGATGCTTAATGTTCTACAGGCTCAGCTGAGGCCAGCCTTCTGTCATGGGGATGAGGATTCTGAGTCTGTTCCTTCTCCATTGGGTCTCTATTCTTCTCAACCTCAATTTTCCAGGTATTACTACAATAAGAGGATCCTGCATAAGACCAAAGGCAAAAGGTTCACTTACAAGTTCAACTTTAGCAAGCTGATTGTGGTCAACTATCCTTTGTGGGAAGTTCGGGGACCACCTTCCTCCCACTTGCTGCTGGGGGCACCTGCCTTGTGTCGGCCAGCCCTGGTACCCATGGGTGTGCAGAGTGAGGTAGGCATAAAAGTGGTCCCTAACCGCAGAGCTCCACTAGTATCTGCCCCTCTGCCCACAGGTCCCCAACTCTGCTCTCACCTTGAGTACCACTGACCTCTAATGGCCTTATGCACCCTAGGCCCTGAGCCTAGGGATTTAATAGTACACAGGATACAGTATCCACCTGTAAGAAAGGGTGACTTCTATACTAGGCATCATCTTCCAGTTATAAATCAGACAGAAGTGGGTGGAGCCCCAGGGGAGGGTCCGGGGCATTCAAGCTGGCAGATAGGACCTGGTAGTCACTGGTGTTTAACAACCGATATGAGAATATTTCATCGTTTTAACAATTGGGTGTGTCAGGGAAAGCCCATCTACTCCACCCTTCTCCTCACTTCGCAGCTCCTGCACAGCATGCTGTTCACCCATCAGGCCATGGTGGAGCAGCTGGCTGGACAGCGGATTCCCAGGGAACTACCAGAGGCCCTGGGGGAAAAGAAGGGGAGCAGCAGTAGCAGCAGTCAGCGTAAGTGAGGATGGGGGGTTGGGGACGAGAGGGAATCTAACCAGAGGAGGGGCCTTCCTGGCTGAACATATGACAAAACAGAAATTAGACAAGGGTTAATATGTGTGTCATTCATTTTAATTCACCCAACATTTAGTGAGTGCCAGCTATTTGCTAGGGGCAGGGGCTCAGAGATGAAAGATGGCCTTTTCTCAAAAAGAGAGGAAATATGCCACGAACTGATGTTGAGTAGATATCTAGTAAGCACAGGTACTGGGAGGAGAAGAGTAGAGGAAATGCAGCTTCTGTAAGAGGTGAGGAATGTGAAGAAAGACTCTGGAGAGGGAAATAACAGTTGTAAAACAAAACAACAACAACAAAAAGAAACACTGTAGCAAATCTGGAGACAATCCCTGGAAGACTAGCTAGTAGCTGGCTGTGATCAGAATGAGTTATATGTTCAGGAGGGTTGAGAGGCAAACAGGTGTCCTGTCCCAGAAGACTTCAGAAACCATTCTAAAGTGGTTATTTTATTTTTATTTTTGCCTGTCATGGGTCTTGAACTCTGGGCCTGGGAGCTGTCCCTCAGCTCTTCACCTCAAGGCTAACTCTCTACCATAAAGTGGTTAAATTTTATCCTATGGACAAGGGGACCTAGGAAGGTGATACATGCTCCTATCTTCATGTCATAAACATTCCAGAAGGTCTCTGACTTACAATGGTTTTATTTAGAATATCTTTTTAATTTTTACAATGGTGCAAAAGCAGTAGATATTCAATGGAAATCATACTTTGGTTTCTGAATTTTTATCTTTCCTGGGTCCAGTAATAAAAGGAAAATGATCTTAAGAGTAAACACCAATAGACTAGCCAGGGGCAGGTGGCTTACATCTGTAATCCTAGCTATGCAGGAGGCTGAGATCTGGGGATCACAGTTTGAAGCCAGCCTGGACAGAAAAGTCTGTGATATTCTAATCTCCAATTAACCAGCAAAAGACCAGAAGTAGAGTTGTGACCTAAATGGTAGAGTACCAGTCTTGAGTAAAAAAGCTAAATGAGAGCAAGAAGCCCTGAGTTCAAGTCCCAGTACTATAACACACATACATACATACACACACACACACACACACACACACAATCACTAATAATCTGCAGTGCACTGTGCTGCTAAACTGTGATATTCTGTAAACTAACTATTAAATGCATTTTTATTTACAGTATTTTAAACTTACAATGGGTGTATTTAAATGTAACCCTATCATAAGTCAAGCACTATGATTGTGCTGAGTTGGAATTGGAGGTAGGAGGCTGGCAGTGGGAGGCTGTGTGTTTGTGTGCACACGTGCACGTGCACACACACAGGCACGCAAATGCATGCGCAAAAACTGGGCTCTGGTATCACACACCTCTAATCCTGGCTACTCAAAAGGCTAAAATCTGGGAATCATGGTTCAAAGCCAGCCCGGACAGGAAAATCTGTAAGACTCTTATGTCCAACTAACCACCAAAAGGCAGTAAGTGGAGCTGTAGCTCAAGTAATAAGAGTGGTTTTGAACAGAAAAAGCCATAGGGGAACACAAAGCTCTGAGTTCAATACCCAGTATTGGCACAAAAATCAAATGAAGAGGGCTGGGAAGGTGGCTCAGTGGTAGAGCGCTTGCCTTGCATGCCTGAGGCCCTGGGTTCGATTCCTCAGCACCACATAAGCAAGAAGAAAAAAGCCGGAAGTGGTGCTGTGGCTCAAGTGGTAGAGCACTAGCCTTAAGCTGAAGAGCTGAGGGACAGCACCCAGGCCCAGAGTTCAGGCCCCACGACCGAACCCCCCCCCAAAAAAAAAGAAGAATAGGTAAGAGACAATAAGATCCGAAACAAGACCTGGACTGTGGGGTAAAGGAGGCTCATATGAAGAGAAATGTTCTTTCAGTCACTCACTCATTTCTTTCTTCTTCTTTTTTTCCTGTTTAATGATGTTCTGTTTAATGTGCTAGGATCTATCCTGGGGGCTGAGGACACCAATGCAAACAAGACTGTCTTTACAAGACTCATAGACCAGAGTGAGGACAGTTACTATTAGATATGCAATTATAACTGCATTACCACACAGAGGGGAAGCTGAGGGTGCTAAGGGCAACCAGGAAAACTTTCTTGTCAAAATGACATTTGAGCTGACACCTAAAGTGCACAGAGATGTCAGCTGAGCTCAGAGGGAGCCAAGAAAGCATGGGGAGGAGAGAAAAGAGAGGGTTCACTGATCCTGGGACGGCAAGCAGCACTGTGATGACACATGGTCATGGAGTGGGAGAAAAGGTGGAGATGGAGACTCCAGTTGGCTCTTGGAGCAACAAAATTGGATGATTTTGTGGAAAAGATCAGAAACACATGGCAAACCAAGGCTCTTCTGCAGAGGCCCAAGAACTATCCTCCGCTGTGGACATTTTATGGAACAAAGACCCCTTGGCATTTACTCCACACCCTATGCAGCTGGGGGCCCAAACTCTATGTCACCCGGGAGCACAGCTGAGCCATGGGTGTGAGGCAGCCAGGAACAGACTAGACTCCCTGTTAGCCTGTTCGTCTGTCTGTTAGCCTGGAGCTACTCAGAACCTGAACAGCCTCCCTGTTCCTCCATCCTACTCACCCTTCTTGGCTATGGGAATGCCGTGGGAATGAAACTTCCCACTTTGGGAAACTAAGAGTCCCCAGTTGGGGCTGGGAAGGTGGCTCAGCGGTAGAGTGCTTGCCTCGCATGCATGAGGCCCTGGGTTTGATTCCTCAGCACCATATAAACAGAAAAGGCCAGAAGTGGAGCTGTGGCTCAAGTGGTAGAGTGTTGGCCTTGAACTGAAGAGCTCAGGGACAGCGCCCAGGCCTAGAGTTCAATCCCCATGACTGACCAAAATAAATAAATAAGAAAGAGACCCCAACTTGGAGGGGCTCCTTTGGACCTCTTACTCTCCTGAACAACACGAAACGTTTAAGTCACCAGACAGTCGATGGCAGGCACAAATCCTGCTTTAGAGTTGGGATTCCAAACACTGCCAGTCTTGCCTCCACCCTTCCATAAAGCATGTGTTCCCAGGGAGGAAGCTGCTGCTGGGCAGAGGAGTATGGGCCCTCAAGAGCCAGAGCCAGGAAGCTGAACATCCTAATCTGTGTACTTGGCTGGAGTGGCAGATACAGCCCTGACCACAGAAGCTCCCTGGGACCAAACCTTCCTTTGAAACAACAGTCCTTACCTTACAAGAAGGACAATGGCCCACAGAGAGAGAATACTTTGGCAGAGGTTCCTGTGTGTTTTCTCATGGAAGACCTTTGTGATTATTTTCTCTCTTCATAGACTTGAGTAGAGAAATATGGCTCCTTCCTATCAAAGACACTGGATGTATTATGTAATAGTTCACATGTTTTTCCAGTTTTTCACTATAATTTCACCCATGTGGCTAAATTGCATTAATTCTTGCTCTTAGTTAAATAGTATGGTTTGCAGTTGGGCTTGTTGAAATGTAGAAAATCATGTGAAGTTCTGTGCAGTCATCTTTAAACACCCCAGGCTGGGCATCTCTATCATAGGAACCTGGCAAGTGGGAGAAGGAAAAGGTCAGATTTAGAAAGAATGGGAGGAGGGAAAGCTAGGAGAAGAAGAGCTATGGGCGAATACCAGACAAAAGAGGGAAACTAAGGCTTTTCTACCATGACCCTGGACCTGACAGTACTGAACTCTGAAGACCCCTTCTTTTTTTTCTTTTTTTGTTTTGTTTTGTCGGTCATGGGGCTTGAACTCCAGGCCTGGGAGCTGTTCCTCAGCTCTTCAGCTCAAGGCTAGCACTCTACCACTTGAGCCACAGTACCATTTCCAGTTTTCTGGTAGTTTATTGGTGATAAGAGTTTCTGGTGGTTAATTGGAGATAAGAGTTTCACAGCTTTTCCTGCCCAAGCTGGCTTTGAACTACAATCCTCAGATCTCAGCCTCCTGAGTAGCTAGGATTACAGGCATGAGCCACTGGTGCCTGGCTGCAGACCTCTTCTTACTGATCCTCCTGCTTGATTTTATCAAGGAGAGGGGTCTTTATGGATAAGAAGACTGAAACTTATAATTCTGTTATCTGTGTGATGGGTCTGGGGCTTGAACTCAGGGTCTGAGTGCTGTCCGAGCTTCTTTTGTTCAAGGCTAGACCTCTCCTACTTGAGCCAGAGTTCCACTTCCAGCTTTTTGGTGACTAATTGGAGATATGAGTCTCACAAACTTTCCTGCAAAGGCTGGGATTTTGAATTCTGATCCTCAGATCTCAGCCCCTTGAGTAGCTAGGATTACAGGTGTAAACCATGGACATCCAGCTTAAGACTTACAAATTTAAACAAAAAATCCAAGACCACACAACCAGTTAGACGTTTGAGCCTTTGGCTGCAAGATGAGGAGAGTAAAGAATAGATTCATTGAGTTTTGGCAAAGAATATCTTTTTGTTTTGTTTTGTTTTGTTGGGTCCAGTCGTGGGGCCTGAACTCTGGGCCGGGGTGCTGTCCTTGAGCTCTTCAGCTCAAGGCTAGCACACTACCACTTGAGCCATAGCACCACTTCCGGCTTTTTTTCTGCGTATGTGGTGCTGAGGAATCGAACCCAGGGCCTCATGCATGCAAGGCAAGCGCTCTACCATTGAGCCACCTTCCTAGCCCTGGCAAAGAATATCTTTCACTCATTATCTCAGTATATTTTCATTGAGCTCTTCATCTGTTCCAGGCTAACCTGAATTTGGGACAGAATAAAATAGATGCAGTGCCCCACCAAGATGAGGACACAGACATTAGAGAAAGGAGTACACAAGGGACTACATGATTCCAGCTGAAAACGTGCCCTAAGAAAAGGCAAAAAGAAATGATGACAGGAGGTGACATAGGCTAGCACGTGTCTGAAGAATCCCCAAAGACTCAACATTTGCAGTGAATCTGAAGAAAAGTGGGTCAGGGGCAGAGAAGGCAGGGAGGGAGAATCTGAAGCAAGAAGTAGAAAGAGAGCCAGGCGCTGGTGGCTCATGCCTATAATCCTAGCTATTCAGGAGGCTGAGATCTGAGGATCAAGGTTCAAAGCCAGCCCGGGCAGGAAGACTCCTATCTCCAATAAACCACTAGAAAACCGGAAGTGGCACTGTAGCTCAAGTGGTAGAGCGCTCGCCTTGAGCTGAAGAGCTGAGGGACGGTGCCCAGGCCCAGAGTTCAAGCCCCATGACCGACAAAAAAAAAAAAAGGTAGAAAGAACTGGACAGTGGGAGGAGTTGGGGGGCATCTCCAAGAGACGGTGCACCCTCGTGACTTTTTCTCTTTTTCTTTCTCTAGGATTTAGCTCGGCCTCCACATCGTGTTGGCTTGGCCCTTGCTGCCATTTTGGAAGCCTCCAAAGTGAGCTGCCCAGTTTTGCCTCTCTCACTCCTGCTCTGCCACCCCCTGGCCCCCCTGACTGGACCCGCCTCCCAGGGACCTTCTTCCCCCCTCTTGCCTCAGAGCAGCAGCTCCCAGGGTCTCCTAAGCCAGGCACCCTGCTCACAGGTCCAGGCTGTCCCCCAGGGCTCTCCCTGCTGGCCGGGCTGGGTCAGGGTGCAGGTGAGAGGCTTCGGCTCCTGTCACTTAGGCCTGAAGGGTTAGAAGTAAAGCCTGACTTCATGGTGGGGGCAAAAGGGAGTCTGGGCTTCACTTCAGAGACCCATGGACAGAGAACTGGGGAGGAAAGCCCAGAGAACCCCAATCTGGAGAACCTCAAAGTGGTGTGGCCCTTGGACCCTCCTTAATTGAAGAGAAAAATATGGGGGCAAGTCCCCAAATTCCTTCTCTCCCCTTGTCCTCCTTCCTTGTGGTGTTGCACCTTCTCTGGTTGGACACCACTTGAACTTGAAGAAAGATTTCTAGGGCTGGGATTGGACCAAGATGAAGCATTGCAGGAATGAGTGAATATAAGGGTGGGGAAACAGAGTTGGAGCCCTGTCTCTCAGACATCTCATTAACTTTAGGAGACCTACTTGATCTCAACTTTTTTCAAGAGAAATGAGACCAAGGTTTCCATTATTTGAATCATCCCTTAACTGCCTTCAAGAAGAAAAAAGTCGAAGGTTTCTGCTGGGGAGGAAGGGACTAGGGGTAGCTTTGCTCCTGAGTCTCAGGTGATTCCTTTCTTCTCTGGGCTCTTCTCCCCATCCAGGCTAAGGTTTCCAGTCCCTCTCCTATCCCGGATTACTGAGCCCTTGGGAGCTCCCATCCCAGAAAGGTACTTCCTTCGCTCTCCATTAACCCAAGACCCAGGCAGGTGGGTAGAGAGGGGCTGGTTTCCACTTCTCTGTAATACTCCACTGTTGACCACTAATAAAATGCCCTTGTCAATGCCTCTTAGTTGACAGTCTCCCTCCACCCTCTGTCCCCATCCTTTGCCCCCCACACTCTGCACTCCTCCTGCAGAACCCTGTAGAGTTAAACACCACTGGTGAGTGTGGCTAGGAATGGGGAGAGAGAGTTTGGTTAGGACCTGGGGTTAGACTAGGACTGGAAAGCAAGCCAGCCAATGTGCTGCCTCCTACCATCATCTCAGAAGGGAGCAGGGGAAGGGGAGAGTTCCTAGGAGATATAGGAAAGCTTGGGTCTTTACAGAATGATCCTCAGATCCCTGTGGAAGACTTTTGGAAAATCCTAAGAGGTGGAATGAGAAAAGAGCCTGTGACACGGGTCCCTTTTCCGCTGTCCCCCTGTCAATCATAAGAATGACAAGCAAAGCAAACCTGAAGCATGGAGAGAAACATGAGAAAGAGGGTCTTTTACTCAACTACTGACACACTGATGGAGAAGAATGCTGCCAAAACCAAGGCCACTGAACCACATTGCTCTCTTGTCTCTAGGCTGCCAATTACACAGCGAGTACTTGTCATTCCTCCTTTCTATTAAATGGAGCGTGAACTAGGAAAGCACAGAGAGTCTCTCTGCCCATTCTTTGTCCCTATTCCTCCAATCCCTTCTCATTTGCTTTCTGTAGCTTCTCAGTCCTTGTGGCAGATGCATTGCCAGTTGATTGAATGGGGAAAAGACCCAGAGTAGCTGGGGTCAAGATGGGTAAAGAACCAGCCTCTCGATTTGAAGCGAACCTAGGCCAGGAGAAAGGATTTCTAAGAGTTCATCTTACTCTCCCTCCCTCAGTTCAGATGCCAAAAAGAAGTCCCCAGATTCTCTTTCCCAGTCATTTCCACTCAGACTCATAGAGGAAACTATTCTCTACTTGTCCTCCTAGACTCAGGCCCAGTCCCCAGGGCTTTTGTATCACCCTGTTCAGTTTGGGGAGACAAAGAACATGTATTGTTCGTCCAGCACAAGGAAGTGGACAGAGTTGGCATGAGGCTTGGGGCCTGTTCAGAAAGCCAGCAGGGTCTCCACAATGAGGACCCTCATGCCCTTGGCCTGACCCTTCCTTATCCTCTTCAGTGGTTTATGATGGCTGTGACACACACACACACACACACACACACACACACACACACACACACTTTAGGTAGTGAGAAATACTGTGATGTCTCTATTCTGAGATTTCCCTTTATGATAGTTGAACCCAGCACACTCAAAGCATAGCCCAGAGGACTTGCATCCAGATGGTACTTTCTTTATTTAGGTAATAGATTCGAGTAGAGAAAACCTCTACTTTGTGTCACTTTTGGCATTGGTGAGGGGAGGGATGCATAATTCAGCATTGTGAGAAGCTATTCTGTGCAACCTGGGTATTTAGCAGCATCTGGGGCCTACACCAGTAGCACCCTCCCCCAACCAATTGTGACAACACAAAATGTCTCCAGACATTGTTACATATCCCCAGGGAAAGGAGAAAATGGCCCACAGTTGACAATCACTTAAGTAGAGAATGACTTGAGCAAATCCAGATGTTCTGTCTGGCAAAAATGTGCCAGCTTCCCGGAGAGAACTGTTGGTCTCTGTATTACAAGAGTACCCTCTGGTGGCCAGAGTCAGTATTCAAAGCCCAAAGCTCTGGACTAGGTTGTGTGTGTGTAGAGCCCAATGAGGGTTCTGTGTGAGGTGAGGAGGTAGAAAAACCTTGGAGTCCTCTGAGAGAAGGAAAAGAGATGACCTAAAAGTACTCTGAAAACACTCCTATTTCAAACACCTTGACAAATCATGGACAAGTCACTACAGTACCACCAATCTAACGCGACAACAGATTTCAGGTTGTCAGTTTGTGGTATAGTCAAGTCTGTAGTGAACCCCAGATATCACATACTCTGGCCCCCTGTGACCACCAGCCTTACTTGGGAATAGCATGTCATAGACACTCTACCAAGAGCTGTGGAGATCTGGACAAGACAGAAAAATCAGTTCACCAATACCTGGCTCCTAGGCAGATTTACTAATAGGATTCAGCAATTTTAAGGAGTCAGACTTTCAGGCTGCATGAATCTTATACTGTTAGGAGCCAGAAGGAACCTTTTGAGATCATCAAGCTCAACCGCTCTAATTTTACAAGCCCAGAGAAAAGAAGGGACTTGTTCCAAATCATACCTATAGAAGAGCCAAATTTGGAACATAAATTTCCTAATTATCAGTTAATGTTCTTTTCCATCTTACCATAATCACTTGCCTGGATCATTTAAGAGGTATTTAAAATTCCTTAGAAATAAGCTTTCTTATAGGGGAAATGGACATTTTAGAAGTTATTCTTACAATGGGGGAGGGGTGCATGCCTGTACTGGGGCTTGAACTCAAGACCTCATGCTTTTCCTTAGCTTTTTTGATCAAGGCTAATACTCTACCACTTGAGCCACACTTCCACTTCCAGCTTTTGCTGGTAACTTGGAGTTTTCTCAGATTTGTCTGCTCAGGCTAGCTTTAAGCCATGATTCTTAGATCTCAGCCTTCTGAGTAGCTAGGATTACAGGTATAGGCCACTAGTACCTAGATTTCCTATGATTTTTTTTTGCCAATCCTAGGGTTTGAACTCAGGGCCTGGGTACTGTCCCTGAGCCTCTCAGTGTTCCAGGCTAGCACTCTACCACTTGAGCCACAGAGCCACTTCCAGCTTTTTCTGGTTGTGTGGTACTGAGTAATCAAACCAGGGGCTTCATGCATGCTAGGCAAGCACTCTACCAATAAGCCACATTCTGAGCCCTCTTATGATTTTTAATATGATCATAACAATAATAATGTGTTTTCCTTTTTTTTTCCTTTTTGCTCTTTCGACAGTACTAGAGATTGGACTCACTTGACAGTCCCTTTTTGTGTTTGTCTTTTTCAAGATATCCAGTTCCTGCTTTATAATTGGCTGGATTTCAATCCTCTTATTTGTGCTTTCTTTTGTCACTGGTATGACAGGGACATACTGCTGTCTCAGACACTGGTTGAGATAGAGTCTCAGGCTAGTCTTGAACTGTAACCTTCTATCTTTGCCTATCAAGATGCTAAGATTAAGTACTACTTTCTTTCTTTTTTCCGCCAGTCCTGGGACTTGAATTTAGGGCCTGAGCACTATCTCTAAGCTTCTTTATACTCAAGGCTTGTATTCTACCACCTGAGCCACAGTGCCACTTTTGGCTTTTTCTGTTTATGTGGTACTGAGGGATCGAACCCAGGGCTTCATGCATGCTATTCAAGCACTAAGCCACATTCCCAGCCCCAACTGCACTCTTTTCTATATGCATCTTGGCACTTGATTACATGCTGCTGTTTGGGCTGGCCTCTCATTGTCTCATGAACATCAATTTTGTTCATGAGCATCAATATGGTATCTTCATAAAGCTGGATAGTGCCACACTCTCTTGTGACATGGGAGGTGTTTGGTCAATAGAACACTTGATTAGCAAATGGAAGAAGTCTTGGAGATTTAAAACCAAAGCAAAAAATTTGCGGCCCTGTGTTGTTGGCAGCAGTAATCCCCACGTTCCCCCTTTCATTCTCTAATGACAACCCTGACATAGAGGAGAGGAAAACATAAGCATCTGCATGTTTCATATATACACTTAATGTTAAGACATGTTCTGTATTAGTCTGTCTCTCTGTGATCAATGTTGAATGTACTTGTTTGAAACTAGATGGCAAAGGTCAGTCACAGCACACGGCCTCTTACACAATCAAGTGATGCAACATGGGATGTAGCCAAGTACCAGTGGCTCACATTTGTAATCCTAGCTACTCAGGAGACTGAGATCTGAGGATCACAGTTCAAACCCAGCCCAAGCAAGAAAGTCTGTGAAACTTTTTTTTTTTTTTGGGTCCGGTCATGGAGCCTGAACTCTGGGCCTGGGCGCTGTCCTTGACCTCTTCAGCTCAAGGCTAGCGCTCTACCACTGGAGCCAAAGCACCACTTCCGGCTTTTTACTTTTTTGCTTATGTGGTGCTGAGGAATTGAACCCAGGGCCTCATGCATGCAAGGCAAGCGCTCTACCACTGAGCCACCTTCCCAGCCCATGTGAAACTTTTTGTTGTTGTTGTTGTTTTTGTCAGTCACGAGGCTTGAATTCTGGGCCTGGGTGCTGACCCTGAACTCTTCAGCTCAAGGCTAGCATTCTACCACTTAAGCCACAGCTCCACTTCCAGTTTTCTGGTGGTTAATTGGAGATAAGAGTCTCATGGACTTTCCCCACCCTGAGCTGACTTTGAACTGCAATCCTCAGATCTCAGCCTCCTGAGTAGTTAGGATTACAGGCATGAGCCATCAGCACCCAGCCTATATCCAGTTAATTATCAAAAAGATCAAAGCAGGGGCTGGGAAGGTGGCTCAGTGGTAGAGAACTTGCCTTGCATGCAAGAG